AAAATTCCACCCTTGTTTCCAATTTTTCACCAATGTCAAGTAATCATTTTTTCACTCTCCTGCTCATCTAAATCTGAACTATGGATTATTGACACAAGCACCACGGATCACATTACTCACTCCTTGTCCTCCTTTGGCACATACAAACAAATCAAACCTATTTCAGTAACTCTACCAAATGGACATTGCAACACCACACACTTTTCTGGCATTGTATTTTTCACAAATGGTTTCGTTCTTACTAATGTTCTTTACATACCCAACTTCTCCTTTAGTTTGATTTCTGTCACAAAACTTACTTCTTTGCTTCATTGTTGTCTTATTTTTCAAAACACTTGTTGCTTGATACAGGATCTGACCTCGTGGAAGACGATTGGTTCAACTAAAATGCAAGATGGCTTATACACAATGTGTAGGTCCTTCACTAATCCTTCCTTTCCATCTCGTGTTTCTTTAACCAATACAAATATTGCCTTTGATGTCTGGTATTATAGCTTGGTCATCTATCAGATTCAAGAATCAAACTTTTGGCTCCTTATATACCAACTCTTACATTTCATAACAATTCAAGTTGTAATATTTGCCATTTTCTATAAGCCATACAAGATCAGATAAGTGTTTTGATATTTTACATGTTGATATTTGGGGTCCCTTTTCTATTCCCTCTGTACATGGCCACAAATATTTCTTGACCATTGTTGATGATTGTACTTGGCATACATGAATTTTCTTAATGCAAAATAAGTCTGAAACAAGGCCTTTACTTCAATCTTTCTTTTCTTTGATTGAAACTCAATTCTCTGCCAAGATTAAAATTCTTTGAAGTGATAATGGTTCTAAATTCAATATACCAGTTTTTTATGCTTCTAAAGGAACAATTCATCAAACTTCTTGTGTTGAAACTCCCCAGCAAAATGGTATTGTGGAGCGTAAACATTAACATATACTGAACGTGGCTCGGTCATTATTATTTCAGTCCAATTGACCCAAAATTTTCTAGAACTACACTGTTCTTCATGCGGTTTATTCGATTAACAGACTTCCTTCTCCATTTTTGCAACATAAATCACCCTTTGAACTTTTATACAATGAACCTCTAGATTTTACTAGTCTCAGAGTTTTTGGTTCACTTTGTTTTGCATCTACATTGTCTACCAATAGGTTGAAATTTGATTCTCGAGCTCGAAAGTGTGTTTTTCTTGGCTATAAATTTGGAACTAAAGGCTACATTCTTTTGGATATTGCTTCAAAAGAAATTTTTGTCTCTTGTAATGTCCTCTTTCATGAAACAATTTTTCCTTTCACTATAAAAGCATTGTTGATAAGAGTGTAATTTATATATTTTTTATTCCTTCCATAATATGTTTTTGTTATGTTTGATGCCTATTTGAGTTGATTAGAGTTTATTTTGTAAGTTTGGCATATTTGGATAGACTTTAGGAAATAATTGAGAAAAGAATAGGAAACTCCAAATTTTCCAGATTTTTCGTTATTCTGACCAGTGCTACGTTTTTCAGGTTTTTCATGGAGTCAGATTTCTCGATTGCAAAAGTGTCCTTCAGAAGAAGTAAAGTAGACGAATCAAGCTTTCCAGGAAAGTATTATGGGCAAGAATCTGAGTTCGTTTGGGTTCTCAGTCGTTGTTACAAAACCAGACCTGGAATCCTAGTCGCGGAAGGATTTCTTGGCTGAGTATTGAATCTTCAAACGGGCCTAACTGGAGCGTCAGATATCGAAAGCAGGTGATTCAAAAGCCCAAATTCATCTACACATCTGGGATTACAATTTTTATGAAGTGATCAAGCCCAGAAAAGATCATTTACATTGCAAGAATCCTGGTGCAAGTTGTAGACGAATTATGTTTTCCATATCTGATAAGATTTTGACAGTTTTGGAAGTCTATCTTATAGGAAACGTCTAGGAAAGTAATTTCCGTGATTCCTGGGGTAGAATTAAGAAAAAAAAACATGTTATTTATTGAGGAGTGTTAGGTTAACCAAGGGAGAGACGGCAGGAGAGTTTGGTTTTTCAGTTTTTTTTTTACTTTCTAGGTCAAGATGTGCGGCTGATCTTTCTTCTTCAGTTCAAGGGGATTTTGAAGCCTAAATTCATTTCATTGGTGTAACTTAACTTCACTAATATTGTTCTTAATCTTGTTTTTATTAGAATTGTTTATGTTATTCTGTTGTAATTGTTTATGATTCTTGTTTGAGTGGTTTAGTTTGGGCCTGCTAAATTGTTTAATCGGAATTTTACCTGTTAGAATTAGGAATTGTGATACGTAATTGTCCTTTTTCTATTCAACAAGTAACACATGATGATAGATGATTATGGACAAGTTTTCAATCTGTCATCTTGAATAACATAACCTAAGTTAAATAATCCGATCTTGCGTGATTGTTGCTTAGAGTGATCTATTTTCCTAATTCTTAAGGCTGCCATTGAATTAAATTTAGAGAGCTTGTTCTAGGTTGTTCAAGGTTAGGATCTACTCGAAGAGCTTATTTCAGTAGTGATAACTAAGGGAAAATTTGGATAACAGAGCTTGTTGTTTCCTAGGGTCAGTAGTTCCATAATAACGAGATAGAATAGTGTTACGGTTAGTTCATGTCCAATGCATGTTTATGTGGATCTTGAACCGAGAGCTGGGTGTTTTTAACCTGATATTTTCTACCATTAGAGATTTCTTTGTGTTACTTTAGTTTGCTTTGACTACAACCCCCTTTCATTACTATTGTCATGTTACTATTTAGGGTTTTATTTTATTTTTCTATTGTTGTCATTGTTTTAGAATATAGAAATTAATCGAATCATTCCCTGTGAGATCGACCCTTGCTTACGCTATATACAATTCAGTAGTTAGGTTAGGAAGGTTATTAATTTGGAGCATTCAGCACGCTACCAATTGTCTCCATTTGTACCTTTACCTCAAGAATCTCCTTCCCTTGATTATGTTATCCCATCAGTCCCTTCCTTGTCTTCAGCTCCTCAATTGTCTTCTCTACCATCTACACTTGTACCCCAAGAATCATCTTCACTTGATCATCTTGTTTCCAAACCTGATTCCCCTATTCGAAGTCTATTCTTCTTCGATCACATAGACTTTGAATAGCTTCGTCTTACCTACAGGATTACCTTTGTCATCTTGCAACTTCGATTGATCTTCCTCATCTCCACTCAGGTACATTGTATCCTTTATCCTCTGTTATTTCTTACTCCAACTTATCTCTTTCACATAAAAATTTTACATTAGCCATTTCTACTACCTTTGAACTTAAAACTTATGCCCAAGCCATTAAGCGTCAATGTTGGAGAGAGGCCATGCAAGCTAAAATTATTGCTCTTGAACAAAATCATACATGGGTTCTCACTGATCTCCCTCTTGGTGAGTCTGTAGTCGGCTGCAAATGGGTTTATAGAATCAAATACAAGGCTGATGGATCTATTGAAAGGTATAATGTGTGGCTAGTTGCAAAGAGGTATACACAAATTGAGGGTGTTGATTATTTTGATACCTTTTCCCCTGTTGCTAAACTCACTACTATCAGATTACTTTTAACATTGGCAGCTGCTAATCAATGGCATCTCAAGCAACTCGATGTTAACTAGGGGTGTTTGATTAGGGTACCTTACATTTTTGGAAGGAATTGGAATCGACGGTTCCTTGAATTTTGGAACCAGATGGTTCTGGTTCCCAAATACCCAGAACCTGTAACAACGGTTCCGATTATTGCCACCCCCCCCCCCCCCGATCATTGTTACACATTCTGGTTCTGGGAATTTTGGAACTGAAACCGGAATCGACGGTTCCGGTTCCCAAATACCCAAAACTAGAACCTGTAACAACGGTTTCGATCTAGAACCTGTAACAATGTTTTCGATTCTGGGTATCCTGTAAAATTCATTATCTCTACACCCCCCCCCCCCCCCCCCCCCCCCCCCCCCCCCCCCCCCCCCACCACCCCAACCCCCCCCCCCCCCCCCCAAAAACAAACCAAAACCCCCCCCCCCCCCCCCCCCCCCCCCCCCCCCCCCCCCCCCCCCCCCCCCCCCCCCCCCCCCCCCCACCCCCCCCCCCCCCCCCCCCCCCCCCCCCCCCCCCCCCCCCCCTCCCCCCCCAAACCCCCCCCCCCCCCCCCCCCAAAAAAAGTCTTTAAAATGATTAAAAAAAAAAAAACTCTTAAAAACTTACAAATACCCCCCACCTGGCACTTGTTAACAAAATTAAAATTATAAATTTCAAATTTTAAACTCCAAAATTAAAATAATCCATTGAAAATCACAAATTCAAAATTAAAATATTACAATAATCCATTGAAAATCACAAATTCAAAATTATAAACTCCAAAACTAAAACGATGAAATTACATAACATATAAAATAAGTAACATAACAATTAACAACATCCAAATATGAAAAACTGAAAACATTTCATGCTCCATGCTCTAAATTGCTTGCCTCATGTGCATTAATTTCTTTGAAATAAATACAAGAAAATCAATTAATAAGTTCAAAATATTGAATACAATAATTTGGGAATAAATTAACTAAATATGAATAAAAAAGATTGATATTATTTTGCTACCTGAGTCATAACTTTCTGCATCCATCAAGTAATCCTCAAAAGTAGTTGGGGTATATGCATATCTCAACCAATCTTGTGCACAAACTAATACTTTCACAATAGGTGTACTTAAAGAACTCCGAAAGTGATCAAATACACAACCCGATGTACTGAAAGTTGACTCAGAAGCAACTACAAATACCAGAATAGCAAACACATCTCTTGCCATATATGAGAGAACCTTATACGTTGCAGCATTTACTTTCCACCAATCTAGTATGTTCAAGTTGGACTTCCCGGGTAGACATTTCTCCTCAAGGTAAATCTCTAACTCTGATTTGGTCATATCATGAACCTCTACCTCCATCCCCTCCTCATACTCACCTAAGGAGAGGTCGTACTCAGTATCATCACAACTCACACCAGTAACTGAAGACTAGCCAATTCCGGTAATTTGGGAAGAACCGGAAGTTTGGCTTTCTTGGAAACTTGATACAACTTCCACATAAAAATCATACAACTGTTGTAACAAATCTCTCAACTTTCTAGACATCAACCCAATCTTTTGCAAATCATTGCCATAAATCTTTTTGTACCCCCACTCCACATATTTCATTTTAAACTGAGGATCTAAAACTGCTGCAATCAATACCATCATGTTTGATCTATCAACACTTCCATAATACTTATCAAACTTCTCTTTCATTTTCTTTGACATGTTGTTAAGTATTGGATTTGCGTCTTTCTCCCAGTCATTCAAAGAAAGCACAATACCAATTGTCTCTTGAAAGTAAGTGTTAGAAGTCACATAGTTCAACTCTAACATTTTTTTTGTAGCTTCATAAAATTTTCTGAGGAATTTAGCAAATACATTTGCTTTTTCCCAATCTTCGTTAGAAGGTGTATCATGTGACAAATCCGCGATGTAGTTGGGATCCTCAACTTCTAACCTCTAAAAAGCTTTCTTGAATTTTACTGCAATATCTAACATCAAATAGGTGGAATTCCATCTAGTAGCAACATCAAGATACACACCACCTTTATAAGCAATCCTTTCTTTTTTCCCACATCTCTGACACGTTTCGGCTTTAGCAGGGGAACTCCTCACATACTTAACCGAATTACGAATTCGGCTAATAAATCTTTTGTCTCACTAAGACAGTCTTTCACGATCAAATTCATAATATGAGCAATACATCTCATGTGGAAGAACTTGCCATCCAGAAGTAGTGCTAATTTGCCCTTCAAGTAAGTGATTGCCACGTCATTAGCGCTAGCATTATCCAACGTTATAGTAGACACTTTATCTTCAATACCCCAATCAAAAATGCACTTCTCAACCACTTTGCCTATCTCCCTTCCCTTGTGACTACTAATAGGCACAAAATTAAGAATTCTTTTATGTATAACCCAATACTCATCAATGTAGTGACCAGTGAGACATAAGTAGCTAATATTCTGAATTGAAGTCCATATATCGGTAGTCAAAGCAATCCTAGACTTTAAAGACCACAACTTACTTTTCAGTAAAACCTTCTCATAATCAAAACGTTTCACAACATCCCTAGCCAATGTGATGCGAGAAATATTTAACCACAAAGGTTGCAATGAATTTAGAAATCTCCTAAACGGTGGCTGCTCCACCATTCAAAAAAGGTTCTTCCCTAATAATAATCATTTCAGCAAGCAACTGCCTAGACACCTCTTGATTGAATTTCCATGTGTTAATCGTACTATTTTCCTCTTCTTCTTCGTTTATGGCTTGAAAGATGAGATAAGTGTTTGGCTTCTATCTACATTGCTTGGGCATTTCTTACAATTGGATAAATGCTTACACATAGAAGAAGTTCCATTCATCGCATTATACACCAACATCTTTCCACAATACGAACACTTTGTTCAGTCTACTATGCTGGTTGTCTCATTGAAAATTTTCTCAAAGTGTTGCCACATGTCAGATGGCTTATGCTGTGCACGCACATTTGAGATAGACTCTCTAACAATATTAGGCATATCCTCCCCAATGTCAATGTTCTCTCTAATTAATGATTTTGTTCCTGCAAAAAATTTGCCAAGTTCAACTTCAAAAGAATTTAAAATACATATAATATTTATATATGTAATGTTTATGTGATATTATGCCATCAATAAATAAAATATTATTTACATGCTCCTTAAATGTTTTAACTGACTTAACTACCTAACTTTTTCATGCCAAATTCTAAGGTTGTATAGTGAATGTTACATTATCACCATCCTTTGGAAGGATTCAGTAGTTGGTTGTCTAAATGAATATCCTCAAATATCTTAACATATCAACATAATACACAGTTGTGAGGTTTCTTTTCATAAAACATCCAAGCAAAATTGAGACTAGTAAAGCTCTTTCGTCGAGTGCGCGATCATGACAGGACTCGAGGAAGAAGCCCCGGCTAACTCCGTGCCAGCAGCCGCGGTAAGACGGGGGGGGCAAGTGTTCTTCGGAATGACTGGGCGTAAAGGGCACGTAGGCGGTGAATCGGGTTGAAAGTGAAAGTCGCCAAAAACTGGCGGAATACTCTCGAAACCAATTCACTTGAGTGAGACAGAGGAGAGTGGAATTTCGTGTGTAGGGGTGAAATCCGGAGATCTACGAAGGAACGCCAAAAAGGTCTTAAAGGAGCACCTATCTGCCTGACTTGAAAACAATCCACGCTCCCCCCGATGAATGATTCTTTGTTCTTGCTTGATTACCGGAGGACTACCGCTGGAAGGCGTTGTCACTGCGACTTGGTGCCTAGTGTGCTCTTCACGGAAAGGAGTGAAACGAGCAAGGAGAGAGAGTCAACCTTAATGTCAGTGATAATAAGAAAGGAAGAGACAGAATCACATCTGCTGCTTTACAAGGATTATTCCTAAAGGAAATGCTGACTACCTTTCATCAGACCAATCAAATAAATGGATCATGTAAATGTTTGGTCTCCTGCCAGATAACGTATAAGCAATTAAAATACAATACTTTTATAGATGATAATATCACACACACACAAATGAAGACAAGTAATTGAGAAGTATGTATATTCACAAATTAAAACATTTATGCTCTGAAATAGAAACACATTTTTAACAGAGCATAAAGATACATTGTAGATTCACATATATAGATTGTAGATTCAAGTCTATCTTCTTCACATATATAGATTCAAGTCCATTGCAATCACTTTTATCCATAACACATAAATGAAGAACCAAAATCCATATAAAAACTTTCTGTTGAGCATTATATTGAACACATTGCGTTTCATATTACTAAAACAGAAGAAATTCAGTGTTAAGAGTTGAAATATATTTAATCACAACAATTGTGATAGTAAAATGCTAAGAAAAACAAGACAACTTTTTTTCTTTCTAGTATTTCCTTTTTAAAAGTTTTTTCCTTTTGTAAACTTTATATACCACCAAGCACGCAAGCACTATGTTCAAATATCATCAAAGTAATTCCCTTTTTTATCTTAATAAAAACCAAGCATGCATGCGTCTTTTAATTTTTCAGGGAACATCATTACTTGCCCATCTATGGTATTATATCATCTTAACATTCTGCTTTTTATTTAAATCTAAATTTGGTGTTATATAGCTGGGATATACATATACTTACAACTAGATTTTTCACCTTTATCAATTCTTGATTGGTTCATAGAGATTTCTTTGAAAAACCTAACCCTAACCCAATTGACACTAACCCTATTTGAGCAGAAGTCTAGCCTGGGAAGGTCCACAATTTAGTCCAAATTTCAAATAAAGTGGAATTTTGGTTCATGATTCAAAACCAAAAAAAGAAAAGATAAAAAAAAAAGTGGCGTTTGCATCAAGAAATTGAAGGTTAGTTTTAAGATTTTAGGTGCTCATATTTTGGATCCCATATGATTAAATTATTCACACAGTATGTTTGTTTGTCAATTAGTATTTGTACTATAATATGTAGACGCAATGTGTTTGATATAATGCTCAATAGAAAGTTCTTATATGGATTTTGGTTCTGCTGGTCAAATAAAATTCAAAAATAAAATTAAAAGAAAGAAATGGAAATTACCTTACGAAATTGGAGTGCTTTAGTGTCTTCTTCTAGATTCCAAAGATCATGCTTTAGTACTTTAGTGTGATGTGAGGCTCAGAGGTCTTGTGTGTGAATGAAAAAAGAGAAAGAGCGACATAGACGTGAGTGAACAAAGAGAAAGAGCGACATAGATGAAGAGAACTGGGAAGGGAAGAAAGAAACAATGAAATTTTTGCCCTAATCTGAAGTTTTTATATGTTGCAGATAAATTACAACCCCCCCCCCCAACTCCTTAATGATATTTCATTTTAGTCCCAATTCTCGGTTCCGGTTCCAGTTCTTGACTATAGGAACCGGAACCGTATAGTGTCGGTTCTAGATTTTTGGAACCAGCACCTATCCGTTGACGATCAGTTCTGGGTAAGAACTAAAACCAAACCCCAGGTACCCAACGGTTCCGATTCCGATTCCAAACAATTCTTTTGAACACCCCTAATGTTAACAATGCTTTTTTGCATGGTGAACTCACTGAAGAAGTATACATGGCTCTGCCTGTAAGTTTCACTTCCTCTAATTCTAGTCAAGTTTGTAAGCTTCAGAAGTCCCTTTACGACCTTAAACAAGCTAGGCACCAATGGTTTTCCAAATTAGCATCTGCCTTGCTTTCTTCGGGATATCTTCAATCTAATTCTGATCACTCATTATTTGTTAAACATACAGCTGATTCCATTACTGTTATCTTAGTGTATGTTGATGATTTAATTCTTGCTGGAATTGATTTGGTGGAAATTGATTTTGTTAAGGCTTATCTTCATAATACTTTCAAGATTAAAGATTTGGGGGATTTAAAGTTCTTCTTGCGTTTGGAAGTGGCTAGAACACACAAAGGCATTACTTTATGTCAACGTAAGTATGCACTTGACAGCTTATCTGATTCTAGTTTCCTTGGTTCCAAGCCTGCCAAGACTCCTATGGACTCTTCTTTGAAGCATAGCAAAGACCATGAGGATCCTCTTCCTGATAATTCTTCTTATAGGCGATTGATTGGACGATTCTTTACTTAACTACCACTCGTCCTGACTTAGCATTTGCAGTATAGTAGTTGAGTCAATTTCTGGATAAATTCCTCTCATCTTCAAGTTGCTCATCAAGTCCTCCGTTACGTCAAAGGCTTATATTTTCCAACTGATTCTTCTTTGAGTCTCAAAGCCTTTAGTGACTCTGATTGGGTTGGTTGTGTTAATACTCGACTTTCTATCACTAGTTTTTGTATTTTTCTTGGTTCTTCCTTGATCAATTGGGGAGCTAGTAAACAACCCACTGTCTCTCGCTCTTCCTCTAAAGCTAAATATCGCGCACTTGCTTCTATCACATGTGAGCTGCAATGGCTTCAATACTTTCTTCAAGACTTCCATGTCCCTCATCCTCATCCCACTTTACTTTTCTGTGACAACAAATCTGCTTTGCAAATTGCTGCTAATCCAATTTCCATGAACGCACCAAACATATTGAAATCAATTGCCATGTTGTTCGTGAAAAAGTTCATTAAGGTCTCATTCATCTCATGCCATGCTCTTTTTCTTCACAATTAGCCGATATATGCACCAAACCTCTTGATGTTGCTCCATTTTAGCTCATTCTATCCAAGTTGGGAATGATCAACATCCATTCTCCAGCTTGCGGGAGGGTATCAGAAAATAGTTAGCATTAGTTATAGTAGTTAGCATTAGCTACAGAATTAGTTACAGTAGTTAACATTAGTTACATAATCTGTTATGCAGTTACAGAATTAGTTATTAAGTTATTAAGTTAGTTAAATCTATTTTAGTTTGTTGAACGGCTGTAGCTCATACTCCATGTATATATTCCCCTGTATTCCAACTTCTGAAATAAGAAAGAAATTTATTTTTGCAATTATTTTTCATTACCCAAAATATATCTTCGCCCATGGCTGCTCGATCAAGAACTCTCCCCCTCACGTCAACAATTCGGGCATTAAGGATATTATCAGCATTGAGACCATACTTTCTCAACAAGAAACCATACACACCTCAACTAATAAGCCCACCAATGTTTAAGCTTGTGCAAGAACCAGAAGGAAAGGCATGCATATTGCTTTTCTCAGCAATTATGTGGAAGACTTCACCAATTGTTGCACCAGCCTCGACCCAAGTACTGTTGTTATCAATATCAATGCTAATTGATCAAAGATTGGTAAGGTCTACAATGACGAAAGGTATTTAAATTTTGGATACATAAGAGAACCCTCCATAATCATGACCTTCGCTACAGATTCTCATATGAATTCCAAGCTCTTTGGAGCAAATAACGACTGCTTGGAAATGGGATTACTGCAAAGGTGTGAAGATCAACACAGGCTTTGGCACTGAAGGTCCCGTGTACCTAAGGATTGTTAAAACCAGGATAGTGACTACCAACTTCAAGGCGTGTATCAATGCCACTTTTCTAAAGGAAATTTCGCCCCTTTATAGTGCAAATAGGATTAGCGAATTTCTTTAGGATACAATGAAGAACCTACTTATGTTATGCACAAAACAGAAGCAGACTTGAAAGAGTTTTGGTTATACTAGAATTGTTGTCTTATTTGTTG